GTACTCCAGAGTCTTGACCCTTTGAGAACCAAGTCCTCCTGTTCAAATGGAGCTCCTGCGTTTATTAAGTCTTCTGTAGTTACTGATGCTGTGCAGACCTGTAGAAACCGAGCTGATGCCTGAGTGACGCTGCAGGCCGCACACACAGCCGTTAGAGTGGAGAGGGTTGGAAAAAGCCTCCCCCTGCTCCATGTAGGTGTCCGAGGTGGACAGGTCTCGTGAGATGATCATGGGTATGGAGTACTGCAGTTTCTCCCTGCTCTTGTACCACAGGCAGGAGCACATGGACTGGAAGTGGAGCACCTCGGCGTACACGTTGCGTAGGCCTCGGCTCGCCGTGCCTCCGCCGCTGCCTCCGACTGCATTCCCTCCACCACATCCAGTAGGCGTGGAGGAGGAGGAGGCGGGGTCTGTGGAACAGTTGACGTGTCCTCCTGCCTGACCGTTATGTGCGAGCAGGGCCCTCTGCTCCGCATCCCTCTTCTCGTCCTCAGCGTTCATGGTCATGAATCGCAGCACTGCTAAGTTAAGGAACGCTCCAATCACAGCCAAGCCGGTGAGGATGTAGATGAAGCTGAAGGCCACGTACTCCAGCTTGTTCTGCAGCGCGTGTTCCTTCTGCAGCGCCACGTAGTCCCCAAAGCCAATGGTGGTCAAGGTGATGAAGCAGTAGTAGAAGGCGTGGAAGAAGTTCCACCCCTCAAAGTGGGAGAAAGCAAACGCCCCCACGCCCAGTGTGCTCATGCAGGATATGAACCCGATGGTCACCATGTTGACCATGGAGACCTCCGTGTGTCTCAGTCCAAGGCACTTCTTCAGCCGGTGGAGCAGGAACCTGACAAAGGTGTTGATGCGCTCACCAACGCTCTGGAACATGACCAGAGTCAGAGGGATGCCCAGGAGAGCGTAGAGCATACAGAAGGCCTTCCCTCCGTCTGTGCTGGGGGCGGCGTGGCCATATCCTGAGGGGGGAGAGAACAGAAAGGAGCAGGTTTACTGGGGCAGAACTAATTAAATCTACACTACAGAGGACGTGGGTTTGAGGGGAGAAAGGGGGGGGGGG